TCTCTGCGCGCCAAAATGAATCGAACCTCGTTGTAAGTCCGTAACCTTACCGCTGGGGGACAAGTTAGAGAAACAACGTTTATTGAGTACAGCATGTTTGGTGTGACGGGGAGTCGAACCCGCAGGTTACGAGTCGAGCGCCCTAACCACCTGGTCAATGCCAGCCCTAAGTGTGCTCTGCTCGCCAAAATGAATCGAACCTCGTTGTAAGTCCGTAACCTTACCGCTGGGGGACAAGTTAGAGAAACAACGTTTACTGAGTACAACATTCCTTATTTTCCAATCAACAAATCCAAATTTGTTACATATTTTTATAGTATAATATGCAGCTAATCCGTTCCAAAAATGATCACTTTTAAAATTCATTTGACGTTTCTTTTGTCATCATTTACTTCCTGTTGTGTCGAAGAGTTATATGTGGTAGTTCTATTAAAATTAAAAGCTGGGCATGTTTGGTTTGATGTTTCATAAACATTTCTCGAATATTTTCAATCAAAAAGTTAACCATTTAAAATCGAATCTCCACAATGAAAAACCAATTAAAAAATGGCCGAAGCCTTAACCTGTGAATATCAGAGGATATTTTGTGGTTTGAATATATAACCAAATATTTTTCCTCTCCTTTAAAAGTGTCACCAGAATTAAATTATTTCGGAAAAGTTTAATAAATGGGGAATTGTTTGTTTGAATTTCGCGCAAAGCTACACGAGGGCTATCTGCGCTAGCCGTCCCCAATTTTGAGATGATAGGTCAAAGGGAAAGCAGCTAGTCATCACCACCCACCGCCAACTCTTGGGCTACTTTTTTACCAACGAATAGTGGGATTGACCGTCACATTGTAACGCCCCCTCGGCTGAAAGGGGCGAGCATGTTTGGTGTGACCGGGATTCGAACTCGCGACCTGCAGATTGCGAGTAAAGCGCCCTAACCACCTGGCCATGCCGGGCCGATAAATGGAGAAATCTATAAGAAATAGCTCAAAATATCAGTATACTTACATGACCTTGTTTGTCCATCTCATTATTAGTAAGTTTGATCTTTTCGAATGAAACTACCTGTTTCTTCAACTGATCTTCAATCAAGGGAGAATCTGGATGAACGTAAAGTCGTGTCGGTATCGGGGGATCTGCTTTTCCGGCAACAAGCCATGATGAGTGGCGGTAAGAATATCTGTATCGTTTGTTGTCTACGGGAACGACGTCCAAAAGGACAGCGTACTTCGCATCTGAAGCCAGTCCAGTAAAGGTCATTCGCATAGTAGGAAACATGCGTCTAAATACAGAATAGAAAATCAATATATATATATATATTTATGTGTTTGTAAATGGCCATTGTCGATAATTTTGAGCGTGACAAACACCACTATTTCTTTGCTTGGACATTGGATATGGCTACATACACTTGGCTACTTTGCCATATTATATATTTATGTTACTTTAATACACAAATATGTCCAAATGTGTGTTGTTTTGTTAAAAATCGGACATGAAATAGTAGGACAGTTTGGTTTGGTTTGAATTTCGCGCAACACATTTTTAACTGTTTGTAATAATAGTAAGTAATAATAGTAATAGTAATAATTTTCTAAACTAGAAAATAATGAAAATAAATACTGGCAAATAAAAAAAAAATTTTGAAAGGTTTTATAATAAATTTGAAAATATATTACTAGATAAATATTCAATGAGGAAAAATCATTTTTATCACCAGAGGTAGTTAGCTACCTTTAATACTTAACGTTAAAATTTATTCAGTACAGCCAGGAGGGAGTGGAAAGACTAACTTCAAAGTTCAAGTAGTAGTTGAGTATGGTGTTTCTCACACCTCCAAATTCGTAGTCATGATCCAATTAATGAATACCTCACCCGCTTTATGGATTTTGGAGGTGTGTATCCGGGAGTAGGACTGGCGTCCTAGTCCGGAGTTACCCTTAAAGAGATATATTAATGTCAAACGTAGAAATAAAATAAAGCCACCCTAAAAATATTTCAACTAAACATTACCTACCATCCTCCACCCTTAAAAGTTCCTAAAGTAGATTAATAACCACCCTAGGCCTAATATAGTAATAATTCTACTACAAAAGTACAAGTTACTCCCAACCTCCACCCTTTTCTGAAAAGAACATATTTTACATAAGATGATTAAAATGACAGATTTTAAAAAGAACTACAAAACCTACCTCATGTTCTGTAGATAATTCATTTTTGTTGTTGATTATACAAGTCCAGCTACTTAAACTTTCAATGACCCTGAAGGCGAAGTCAGCTAAGATTCAATCATGATGGACAGGCAGAAGGGGGAAACTAAGAGTGTTCTAAGCCCGGTGGAACACTAAAAAAACAGCACAATATAATTGAAATTCAAAAACACGCCTCCGCTACCATTCCTAACTGTCGTCCTTAAGTCAAAGGATAATACCTGTGGTCATAGCACCCAAATGTGTTGGGGATATTCCATCTATCAGGCAAAATCCAAACGTCAATGTAAAACTTGCCAGCAACTAAGGAGAATCAGTTAAGGGTTAGGAGTTGAGTGCTTGAACCTACAACGTCTCAACTCCAAACTGCCTTTCGCTGTCTGCAGCCAGTTGTGAGAAGGCGATTTTAATCGCCTATGAACAATTAATGTATTGCATAGCATTGTATTTTTATGTCTATATTAAAATTACAATGGCTTCTTTACAGCATATACCTGTACCCTGGTGACTTAGTGGTAGGTCTGACGGTTTATAACGCTAAAATTGAGTTTCGATACCCGCGGGATGCTGAGCACAGATACTCCTTGCGTGTATTGCTTTTGTGCTTAACAACAAATAAACAGCACTGATGACATAAATTATTACTTGCAGTATTGCACGTTTTATTTACACACACACACCAATTTCCGAGATATTAATATTCTTAAATGAAGATATAGATAAAACAATTAGTACTTACCTCCCCATTTTTGTAATGATCATCTCTGTTCCCAAATCATGAAATCTTTCCCATAACGCCTTGTCTTCCAGGTGACATTCTACATATTTAAGTTCATCGCTATTACACCGAGGTGTTAGGGCGCTAGCATACGGATTTGATGAAGGCGATTTATTTCGACCAATTGCCGATCTCTCACCTTGAGGAGCTGTTTGGTTTCTACCTGCCTCTTCTTCGGCAGAACCTTCAGAAAATGAAATCAAAGAACGCATATCGGTCCTCTCTTCCACCACCTCCTCCTCCTCCTCTGTGTACAGATCTCTGGCTACATACGGTAAACTTCGTATCGGTACCGTAACTGAATGTTGGCGGTTCGGCATAAATTTCATGACTGTTTCGGAACTCCTCGTTCCCCAACATCCACCCGAACTGTCGAAGGGTGCTATCGGATATCGGAGAAAGCAAATAGGTGTAAACAACTATATATCCATTAATCAACGGTGTGTGTGTGTGTAATTGTTTTGGAATATTTCAAGAATGTTTCATAATATGATCAGTTAGTCTACCTGTACATACACAAAAAACACTGTTGGAAAGCCGTCATGTTATGGTATATTGAAACATCATGATATTATAATTTCTGTCTATGTCACATTTATATTAATTTATATTAAAAATGAAAAACAAAAACTACTTTTATCTTTCACTGTGCCAAAAAAAAAAGAGAAAAAAAAAGATCTTTATTAGATATTTCAGCCCAAACTAATCGGATGTTGGTAACTGTGTTACAGAAACTAGTCTACCTTCTGGAATATCTATACAATTAACATATCAAACAACTTGTCCTCAGTCCATCTATGTATAACTTCTAGTCCTACATAAATTAACGTATAATGTAAATAATAAAGTGATACAAGTTTGTACTTAAGTATGGGCCGGGCGTGGCTTGTTAGCGTGTGGGATTGTGAATTCGAGGATTCATGGTTCGCGCACCGTTTTTGTAAAAATACGCTCTGCACTATAGGGCCATGAGTGACAATGTCGCGGACAAACCCCCGCTATTCGGTAAATTAGATTACTCTAAACGTTGGCTGTTGATTAGCTGCCTTTCCTCAAGGTTATCAGTTCAAAATTAGGGGCGTAGATACATACCCCTTTCTGTAGCTTTGTGTGAAAATACAGGATCAAGGTAAACACTAATTAATCGCAACAAGCCACTACGCCACAGGTGATAATCTTGTGTACCAAAACCGGCACCCTAAGTTAAACACTAATTAATCGCAACAAGCCACTACGCCACAGGTGATAATCTTGTGTACCAAAACCGGCACCCAAGTTAAACACTAATTAATCGCAACAAGCCACTACGCCACAGGTGATAATCTTGTGTACCAAAACCGGCACCTAAGTTAAACACTAATTAATCGCAACAAGCCACTACGCCACAGGTGATAATCTTGTGTACCAAAACCGGCAC